TGTGGGAGAGGAAAGTCTGGGATTCTACATTTTCTTACACGTGCTTAGTGATTCTGAGCACACCAAAGTTTGAATACCACTGAATTATAGGGTTTCTCAGTCTTTGGATTTCATTGATTTGTTTCCTGCCTATGGCATATTGAGTCCTTAGCCTACTTCTATATGATGGTCTCCAAAAATAGGTCCAATTAGGGTCAGATAAAATTCTGACTTTAAGGAATGGATTGGTGATAATATGTACTATAGTTTGAATGTGTCCCCTTCAAATTCAGATGTTGCCAATAAGGAGGTATTAAGAAGTAGGGCCTTTAAGAGGTGCATAGGCTATGAGGGCTCCTCCCTCATTAATAGGATAAAGTTCTTCATAAAAGAGGCTTCCTGAAGTATTCAGCTCTCTTGTCGTTTCACCTTCCACCATGTGAGAAGATAGCATTTCTTCCTCTAGAGAGCACAGCAATAAGGCACCATCTTGGAAGTAGAAAACAGCCCTCACCAGACAACCAAATGTGCCAGAACCTTGGGGGACTTCCCAGCCTCCATAACTATGAGAAAATAAATTTCTGTGCTTTATAAATTACCCAGTCTCGGGTATTTTGTTATAAAAGCATAAATGAACTGGGGTAGTTCAGTTATTCTTTTAATAGACATGTATAAATTAGGGGCCTACTGTGTGCCAGACCGAGGGTTTGGCACAAGGTATAAAATTATGGATGATGTGTGGCCCCTTCTCTTAAGAGGCTTGTGAGTCATGTCGTATGAATCATCTAGAACAATCAAGTTCATTAACCATGAAATAGAAATGAATTAGATTCTTTCTATGTCATATAAAATGTACCCAATAATTTTGTGGGTTTAGATATTAGGGAAAAATATGTTTGTAGTAATATCTGGAGAGTCAAATAGCAATAATGGATGTATCCCTCATATCTCACTGCTAATGAATTGTTTCCAGCTGAGATCCCTGTAATCTGCAGGTGCTGTTTACCATGTAATTTTACCATAAGAAACAAGGGTGTAATCACTTAATAAAGTGTAAAGAATTAGATTTTTTCCCCCTTGAGCAAAATTCCTGGCTGTGGCCAACATTCCTGATGCCTCCTCCCTTGTGCAATAGGAAAGCAATATTCTAAAAGAGAAGGCTGTTTTGTTCATATTCTGCAACTTGCCTCTGGAGGCCATGCTAATGAATGCAAAACTAAAGCTAGAATCCTAGACTCCTTGTATGAACAGCAATTGATTTTTGTCTTTACCATTATACTATATAGAGGATAGTTTATCCACCTACCTCTGAGACTCAAAGCACTGTGAATAGGGAATCTCTTTCCTTTGAAGCAGTATATTGTATTGTTTTTCTCTGTATTTTATTGAGAAAATAGAAACCATTCAAAGCATTTTCATATACAGGCATTCCCCTTCTAATGAACACTTGACTTATGGATATCTTGTATCCATCAACAGCATCTCTTGAGGGACTTTTGAGATATTCCTACTACACATGGAAGCTGGAGTTTTTTCTGCTGTCTGGAGAAGTTTGTTTCTCCCTCATCCTTCTTGTTCTGGGAGCTTGAGTTCTCACAACCTGTCATCAGATACTTTGGAACAGTAACTACATGAGCATCTTGTCTCACTATCACCACCAGGACATGAGGTGCATAAGGCCCTGCCAGACCTCTTATAGGAACTGCACTCATGAAGGAGCCCACAGACTATGAAGGAACCTCTGGAGTTGTACTTGGTGTGTAGCATGGAGGTTCTCCATTTACATTTTTAAATCCCCTTTCCCTAGGAATAACATTATCCTTTACCCACATAGAACTTGGTTAGATGATAAATTCATGTATTCATATTGCACCCAGGAATCAAGTAGTAAATGAATGGTCGCTAGGCCACCAGAGAATATGCATTTTACTTATTGTAAAAGCCATTCAAATTCACTCTCACTGCCTTTTTATTCTGCTTTTACATGAATCTGGTGAGTTTTAACTAGATATCAAGACTATAGCAAATTATAAGCAGCAAATTTGAAGGGACCACAAAAGATGTTACAGGTAAGGGAAGTGAAATCTGATAGTTTACAGCGAGATAACATTAAAAAGAAGTTTAAGAATTCAAAACCAACCACAGTGAAACACTAATTTATATCCACCAGAATGGCTAAAATTAAAATTACTGATAATACCAAGTGTTGGTGAAGATGCAAAGTATTAGGACTCTTGTATGTTGCTGATGGGTATATAAATTGGTACAGTTACTCTGAAAAAAATATTTTCGTACTATCTTATAGTAGACACATATCGTGTAACCCAGAGTTTACATTATAGGTGTTTACTCAAGAAAAATTAAAACATATCTACACAAAGACCTATACATGGAGGTTCATATCAGTTTTATTTATTCTAGACCAAACTGGAAATAACCCAAATGCCCATCAATGAGTGAATGCATTTTAAAAAATGATAGAGGCATACAATAAAATATTGTTCATCACTAAAAAGAATGGACTACTGATACATGCAACAATGTTAATGACTTCAGACATTATGTTGAAGGAAGAATCATATTCATATGTATAAAAATTATTTTGTAAGATGCTAGTCTAGAATGAGAAAAATTAAGATATGATGATGGAAATAAAAAACTGGTTGCCTGGGACAGGTACTGGAGAATGACTAGAAGGTGCACAAAGGAAAATTCTGATGTGATAGAAATGTTCTGTATCTTGAATGGGTGGTAGTTACAAAGATATATACATTTGTCAAATCTCTTCAAACTGTATGGTTAAAGTTCATGCATTTTATTATATGTAAATTTTACCTCAAATTTTCATAAGGTACAGAATTTTAGAAAAGGAAAAAAATCCTTCGGATGATCACTGCCATAGGACCAAGTCTAAATTCCCTTAACATTATCTAATTCCATAAGATACTGAACAACCCTTGGTTCATTTCTCACAATTCCTCCCCACCTCCTAGCACTTATTCTAAACTATTTATAGTCGCAAAAACTGCTATTCTCTGTTTTTACTCTGGGTCTTTAAAGCACAATTCTCCCTTTGCCTGAAATTCCTTTTCAATTTTGCATTTATCCTGAATCCTTGACATCTTTCAGGATCAAATAGGTAGTACCTCTGCCAGGAAGACTCATCTACTCCTGGTCTGTATTGGGTGCTTTCCTTCTTACTCTCAGAGAACCTTAATCTCCTCTCTAGCAAAGCATTACTGTAGTTGTAATAATAATGAACCCCCTCAATTATAGTGGACTGGGGCCATTTAGGGTATGGGCAAATAATCTTCCACATATTCAGTGAGCCCTAAATTAAGACTAATTTCTATTCAATGTAGTTGAAGTAAGTTTCAGCATTCAAAAGTCTTCAAGAAAACTCTTCTATCCAGAATGACTTATAGAGTTGCAAATGATTGAGATTTTATTATAAAATAACAGTCTGATTTTATGGTATTATTAGTACATTAGTTTATTTATATTGCGGACTAAGTAACTTTCTGTGGATCTAGCCAGACATCATTATGTTGATTCTGTGGGAAAATGCATTTTACATTCCAAACAAGTGACTCAGAAATCCTGCTCAGTTGAACCATGTAAAATTGCTGATATTCAACCATTTTTGATATAAAGAAGTGGCAGTTTCATATGGTTCAATCTAAATACATTTTAAAATGCAATCCTATTGATCAATTAGAGATTACCCGTATATTCACCTATTAATTTGATATTTAACATATTAATGTACCCTCCAAGATGCTAACCCTAAAAAAATGCTAACCCTGCACCTTAAGGCTATTGGATATAAATGTTTCATATAAACAGTAAATCACAGGGCTTTAAACAAAGTTTGTATGGAATGTTAAGGCTTTCTGGGGTTCAACTCATTTTTTACAACTAATAAGAGATGCAAGAGACATGATACTCTGGAATTGTTCTTTTTGACACTAGAATAAAATGTAGATTCATTTTATTTCAGTTCATTCTTTTTTCAGTTTCAAACTAACCTATCTATTTTGATGATTAATTTTTATAATAGTAATAGTGAACATTTAGTGAGTGCTTGTTACATGCTGATAAGTGCTATGCTAATCCTACAACTGCTTTATGAGAAAGGAACTATTATCCCTATTTTCACATGAGGAAATTAAAGCTTATATGACTTGTCTAAGATTACACAGCTAGTAAGTTGTTGATTCAGGATTAGAATAATTCACAAATGAAACTTTGTTTTATTATGAGAGACAGTGATTATAAGACAGTAGAGGAACAAGTACCAAAATTAATCTTTCCTTTTCTAACCATCATATTTTATTAGGATATATTATTGTATGACAACTTAGTAGTGGAGGAGGACAAGTAAACTTTTCCTTAAAAATTATTAAATAGGGTAAATAATCTACTTATTTACATGATCAAAATTATTTTTTTAGACTACAAGTGTTGTAGGAGTCTAGGAAAAAGAAGAAAATAATTTTTCACTTTGTTATGAGTAATTCCCACAGAGTGTTGACATACAGGGTACCTCAGTACCAAACCAAAGTACAGCATAAACAGGAATATGACAAAATCAGAGGTCTACAATAATGAGGTCCAAAGAGGAGTAGCAAACTCAAGTCTAGTTCTGGGCAAGCATCATTATTAGTATATATGAGGAGAGTTAGAAATTTGGGGCTAGGCCCTCTGAACCCATGGACACTTGTGACCTGTTGTATCACTCACTAGATATTCAGGGAAGAAGAGAGGGGATTCAGAAATTAACTAAAATTTTATGCCTTTGTGGTTCAAACAATAATGGTATCAAAATTAAAAGCATTTGTATAATGCAGGACAAGATAGGGTCAGGCTTCAGATATGTTGACTTTAAAGTAAAGGCAGACCTTCTAATGAAAACTAGTTGCTTTTTGTGCTTTCATTTTTTTGTTTGTTTTTTTTTCTTTTGATGTTGGCTATGGCTGACTAGGGTCAACCTTTCACTCATTTACTTGTTATTTGCACAGATGGCCCTGCTGAATTTCTTCTTCCCTGATGAAAAGTCATACTCTGATGAGGAAAGTAGGCGTGTTCGCCGCAATAAAAGAAGCAAAAGCGGTGAAGGAGCAGATGGTAAGTCTACTCAGATGATCCTTTGTCACTTCTGAGTTATCTCTTAATAAAAACACCCTTCATCATCTCATATATTGTCCACAGATCCAAGGTCACAGAAAATTTCTCCAGCCTAATGTACCAAAATATCTTTGACATAGAACTGATATATACAAGGATCCTCCCTCCTCCAACTCCAAATACCTTCAGCACTTTCTCAGCATGTCTGAGAACCAAAGCAGCATTTGTGTCTCTCAATATCACCCTCCATAAGGACCTCCTCTGTCCTGGGGACATCCCACATCTTCTAGGGCCACCAAAAGGATTTGGTCATATTTTTGTAATTGACAGAGTGTTTCACCATGCTGACACTTACATAATTGCTTCATTCCAATAATAATCATATCAATGTTTATATCTGCTACTGTGTCCAAATCTAAAGCTTCTAGAACTAGTCTTTAAGTTCCTTCAGGATAAGGATTCATTTCTCTTTCTATAACCTCAGAATCTGGCTTCGTATCTGGCTCACTATTGGTGTTTGTAATGTAAGTTGGTGATGTTCACTGCCCCTTCACCAAAGCAGTGTGGTGTAATAGTTTTGAGTTAACTAGCAGTGCATTTGGTGGGACATAACCAAATGCTGAGCTAGCTCCTGGGCAGGTTCTTTGAATCCTCTTATTTCAAAATTATCATGTGACAGAATGCTACCCCTTTGGCACAAGGGTTTATAGAATGCATAGCTCTGGGCTGCTGCAAAGCCATCTGGATTCAAAGACAGCATGTGTCTGGCTACATCTGCCAATGATATGTGTCTGGAGGGGGTTACAAAGCAATATGATTTTGTAAAGATGAAAATGAGATTTTTAAGCTGACATTTGTCAATGTGAGTAAGGTCCAGTGGTGAAGCAGTTCCAGAAGGTGAGAGTTGTTGAAGAGATGGGGCCAGGACTTTGTCAGCAGAGGCAAGAAGCAGAACTGGATGAAATCTGAAAAAGAACTCAGAATAAAGATCCTGTAATAAGAAGACAGAACAATAAGACAGGTAGGGTTTTCTAGTCAGTGAAGGTGTCAGCGGCAATAGGTCTTTTAATGGAGAACTGAACCAATAGGGCTGTACTCTAGAGAAGACAATTTACATACAATTGATGTTCAATTTCAAGTCCAAGAAACAAAAAGTAACCATTTTTTTACCAACTTGTAGCCAGTTTCTTAGAAGCCTCTTGCTAAATAGAACCTGGGGACTGACAGTCATTATCCCTTTCATCTCATAATTATCCCATCTTCTGTTGCATGTAAATCACTCCATCTTTGGTTTTTCACCAGAGGCTCTTCCCCATACCACCAAATCCTTCATAATTCCTGGTTGCTGAGGAGAAAGAGATAAGAGTGAGCTTGTCTTTTACAGTCAGGATTGTCATTCATCCCTCTCCAAGTGGAAAGTCAAAGGGTTTCTAAGGTTTACCTCTTCATCTAACCTTTCACATTTTCTCTTTAAGAAGACAATTTCCTCCTTTTCCACTAATCACTTTATCTAAACCTGGCTACCAACATCTCTAATACTAATCTTCCTTAGAGTGTTTATTCTGTCTTGATACAAAACAGTTTCTCTCTCTCTCTGGTGAAGACCAAAGTCTCTCATTAATAGTTAGCACTTCTTATCTGCTTCCCTCCTGATCTGAATATCTACTTTGTGGTCACTCTGTGCCAATGACAAGTTTATCATGCCATCCATGTATTTTTCATTACTGAGTATAGCTGGGAGGAATCCAAACACACCTTAAGAGTTAGTGGTATAGAATGCCTGAGGATCCTGGGATTTGATTGGTTGTTCAGCCTTTCACATGGGAGGCTATGTTACTATTTCTTATTTGTGATGAGTGGCCCAATGAGTTAAAATTGAATGAGCCAATCCAAATTTCCTCTTCTTTTAAACCATTTATGTTATCCTCCTGAATATATGCTATATTTATTCAATACATTCTTCAAATATTTGTTGAGTAAATTCAGCACCATATATACAGTAGAATAGAAATGCCATTTGAGTTTAATTTGTGTTTGATTAACTTTTATATCCCCACTGCCTTGAAAAAGACCTGGCATATAATAGGCTTTCAATAAATACTTCTTTTTCCCCCAAGGAGCTTTGCTTCTAGTGCATAGACAAACAATAAACAAAGTTGGTGATGATAAGTACCATGAAGAAAAATACAGCCAAGAAAAAGGATAAGAGAGCAATGGGGTATGCTGTAAGGGGATCAAGGATGGGCTCTGTGATAAGGGAACATAGGAGAAGAGACTTGAGTGAAATGAATGTCCAAGCCATGTGGATTTCTTGGGGAAGAAGAAACAAAATGCAAAAGCTCTGAAGCACATGAATGATAGGTTCCAGAAAGATTAGAGAAAGCAAGAGGGAGAGGGAGGGATGTAAGGTCAGAGGCCAAAATGTAACCTCTAATCTTATGGGCCATAAGGAGTCTGGCCTTTTATTCTGCATCAGATGTGGAACCACTGGAGGACTTTGAACGAAAGAGTGACAGGATTTGACTTGTGTTTTAACAGAGTTCTTCTGACTACTTTATTGAAAAGAGGTTCCAGAAGGACAGAAGCACGGAGAGTCATTAGGGAGAGAGTAATCCAGGTACAAGATGATGGTAGTTTAGACCAAGGTAGAGGTGGTTGGGTGGTAAGAAGTGTGATTGGATTCTAGAGAGATTTTTTGAAGGAATGGATGACAGGATTTTCAGACGGATTAGAAAAAAAAGATATGAGAGGCAGAGAAGAGTTTAGAATGACCCCAGGGTTTTGGATTTAAGGAACTAAATGAGTAGAATTGCCATTTCTGACATTTGGAAGAAGAGAAAAGGTGAAGTATAGAGGAATATGGGGAAAGAAGTAAGAATTTAATTATGTCCATTAAATTTGCCTATTAGCCCATTGGATGTATGTTTACAATGTACATCACTGTCTCAAGACAGTGAGCTGACTTGTATTCAAATAAAGGGCTTCTTATTGAAGAAGTGAGTTAGATTGTAAACTGTTCTGAACAGAGTAAGAGATGGTAATAGTAAATCAGAAAGAAGTAAGTAAGTTCCCCCCCAAAAAATGAACAAACAAACAAAATATATGCCAAGGAGTTGAGGGAGTCTACCAGGCAGTAATTCTAAATCCACAAGTTACTTGATATGTTATAATAAAAATTTAGCTGTCCATCTCAAGTTTCATTACAAGTGTCAAAGAAAATATCATTTGTCTTGAAGAGTTAAGAAATGGTTTCAGGAAGAAAACGTTTTTCAAAGGTCAAAAATAGAAACACGTTTAAAAGAGAACAGGAAAAGTCAGTTCTAGTTCCATGTATTTTTTTTTATCTGTTACTGTCCTTTTATTCCACTTCAGTTCCTTCACTATTTTATTGATAACAAGCCTTCTAGACAGTAACAGAAGGAACACAAAGATGAATAAGGCCTCAGAGATACTTACAGCTTAGTAAAGGAGCAGACATTTATAGGCAACAGGTAAGAATGAAGCAAAGATGTTGAGAGCCATAGCTGAAAGGGGCCCCAGTAAACTTCCAGCTGCCAGCAAACTTCCAGCTGCCAGCTGATGATTGGCTCACAGCGGCCCCAGCAAACTTCTAGCTGCCAACTGATTGGCTCCTCTTCGGTGATGCTCATTGAGCTGTTTCCCCGCCCTTTCAGACCACGGAGCTGCTCATTGGGGGACTTTTTTTGCCTCTGCCCACACTACCCAGCCAATCAGCCTCAAGAGCAGGAGGAGTGGGGGAGGTGGGGAGGCTTGTGGGAAGCCGGTGGTGGCAGTTGGGCTCTGAAGGTTTTTCCTGAGGAGCTGTGTGGTTTGGTGTCTGTGTGTTCTAAAAATAAAGTTCATTTCTTCCCCAGCAAACTTCCAGCTGCCAGCACAAAGGTGGGGTGGTGAATTGGTTCCTGGCATTTTACCTAATATGAACCTGTGAATAGAAGACACTCAGACATTTATCAAATGAATGACTAAACAAACAAATGTGGGGTCTAGATTTTATATCTAAAAACTATAGTTATTAATCTTAACAATCTCTGCCAGGCACAGTGGTTCACACCTGTAATCCCAGCTGCTCAGGAGGCTGAGGCAGGAGGATCGCGAGTTCAAAGCCAGCCTCAGCAAAAGTGAGGCACTGACAACTCAGTGAGACCCTGTCTCTAATAAAATATAAAATAGGGCTGGGGATGTGGCTCAGTGGTTGAATGCCCCTGAGTTCAATCCCCATACCAAAAAAAAAAAGCTTAATAATCTCTACTAATGCCTGGGAGAAAAAACATGAAATGGCTAATTAATAAAGAAAGAGGAAAGGATATGGTGACTATCAGGAACTTGCATGGGTTCACCCAGAATAAATCTGGCTGCAGAAGGCCATTTCTTTTTTTCAATGGACTATTTATTTAACTAGTTGATAGGAAGCATAGCATAGGCAGTCTAACTAGCCTTCACAAAAAAAGGTCAGTGGCTATGTCCAGGGTGTATCCAATCTTTCTGACCCACCATTCAAGAATGATGGAATTCATTTCAGTTTCTCCTTTCAAATTACTCTATAAATGAAGGCATTGACCATCTAAGCAGGAGTCCCAAACACAGGGTTAGTTCCCCTCCATTATAAATCTTGGCACTTTATAACTTCAACTCCTAGAAAACAAGTGAATTTCTATTTCTTTTTTAAATCTTTTTCGTTAATTAAAAAAATAAATGACAGCGTATGAATTTCTGTTTCTTTACTCCACATCTACCTTAAATTCATGACTCTTGTCTTGGGTTGGTCAGAATTGATAGTTGCTAATTATATGAGGCCTTTTGGTAATTATTATGCAAGAAAAGCATGATCTCCTCTTCACATTGTGCTCAGTCACAACAATTCCAGAAAACTGTGGCAAGATTTCCTGCTGAGGTCCATCCTAGTGATATATTTCTGAAGTAATATCAGCTCTAAGTGGCCTGCTTGGTCTCTCCTTCAGGCTACTTCATGAAATGTAGAA